ATTTTATATGATACTGACCTACTCTTTACAGCCGTAACAGCTCAATGGCGTAGAAGTGCGTTTATGAGAATATTGGACATAAAAAGAAGTGCCTTCATGAGGTCAGACGCTGATGTTGGACAAGACTTGACTTGCTGTTTCTGCCCTAATTCAACCTAAATCTATTTTATAATGTTGAATTCCTGCTCCACTCGTAGCTAGCTCATCTATATCGACCTTGCTTTGGCCACAAGCAGGAAGGAAATGCTGGTGTAATCTTGTCTATAATTTTGGATCACTTGATAAATCTCTTGGGCAGACTGCAGAGAGACTTGGTAGTGAGATTTTCTTCGCTAAGGGTGTTTTCACACCTAATATTCTGGTGGACTTAGTTCGGTTGGGGACCAAAAAGGGCAACATTTGTTACATTTTCAGCTGCTGCAATTCACTTTCACACTGCACTGTGTCCAAGAATCCAAACTAATTGAGAAACCTGTTCTCCCTCCTTGCCTGTCATGGCCAAGAACCGCTGAAGGAAATAACTCAAAAAATCCCAGAAGACATGAGCACAACTTTTGGAGCGGCCTACGCTCCAAAAGCAGGAATCCACATATGCATTTGCCACAGTTCGTTTCAATCAAACCGAGACCTAGGCTTTTAGGCAGACTAGAGTTCACTTTTTTTTTTTCCACCTAAGAGTTCAACTGCTCATTCACACCTCCTGAAACGAACTGGTCTTTCAAGACAAATGGACCAGAGTTTGATTAAAGCAGACTAAACGTGGCTGGTGTGAATGTGAACATGATCTGTATAAAAGACTGGACTTCCCTATGTGCACTATTTAGCTGTGTTTGAAAACAGGTAATTTTGCTCAGGTTCTAGAGTCCTGTTAATGACCCAATTATGTGATTTAGACATGTTGACTCATATACACTCGTGAATCTAACAGTTTCACCACTCTGGCCCTTGAGGACTTTAGTTTGACAGTGCTTTCCAGGGACACCCATGTTATGTAACAAGACAAACCCAATTTGGGATAGATTATAAAGAGACTTGGCTGCAGCAACAACACTGGTCTCGACTGTCAGCCATCCTGACTTGTCCTTAACGGATAGCTGTGAACAACAATCAAAAATGAACAATTGTACACTTGTACAATTGTGAAGCTTGTTTTCAGGTAGATCGGCTCAAAACTTCCACACTAAACTGCTTTATTATGCCTTATCCTCAGACAAAAAGATTAAACAGAGTGTTAAAAAGGTGCACATTTGGGGAATGGGGCCATGAGGGAGGAAGGTGCCACTTCATTTTAAAGCTCACAAAAGGAAACATCTAATCAATTTTTGGTGCTTCTCCATTTTCCCAAACCAGCATCAGCCAAACTCTGCTAGCAAGAGCATTTTTTTATGCCATTGTTCAAACACCAGGACTGGAAACAACACACTGAGCCCAGAATAGTTGCACTGTATCAGCAAGGTCTCCCTCCCTGAAAAAAAGATTTCAAACCGGAATGAGTTTTCCAGAAGTGTTGCGAAAGCTGGCAAGGCTGAAAAGAAGGCATGGTGATCAGTCAGAGAAACAAGGTGCAGCAGCAGAATAATGGATCAAGCTTATTTTCATTCGAGAATCTGAAGATGTCCAGCAGTGTCATCAGCTCACAAATGGCAGAATCAACTGTCCAACAAAGTCTGACTAAGAAGGCTTTGTGGAATTGCAGTGGTGACATTTATAAGGATTGATTATTATCCTCAATAATGAGAAATGATGGGAGACACGCATCAAGCCATGTCATCAAGGAGGTGTCTATTTATGGTGATTGTTCTGTACCAATCAGTCACCCAATGTTATCAAGAAAAGTTTTCAGTGCAAAGAAGAACAAGATGTCCTGGATGGAATTGTATCGTCTCCACAAACGTGTCTAAGATTTAGGTAGGCCCATATCAACATAATACCAGGGATTAGTTTGGCAAGATGTGTTTATTTATTTATTTTACAAAGGAGCTTCAGTGCATCTAAAGTAAAAAAAAAAAAAAAAACCTCTATTCACTTCGGTTTTGATGTGGAAAATGATACCAAAATCAGTTATTAAAAAAACTTCCATCTTTTGTGCGACGTGTACATCTTTTTTTGGCAAAAACTTGAAAATAAGGAATAAAAAAAACCTTGCTTTAAGTATGCACTGTGGATGTGTTGAGCATTAACATACACATTCAAACTCAGGAGTCTGTAGTACACATCTCAAAGCGTATAAGACAGAGTTATCCATCTCCAATCATCAACAGCTTCTATCCTATAATTTTTAGATACATCCCTGTTTCAACATAACTAAATCCAGTGAATGGTTCAATACCAGACTTCTGTAGAGCTCAATGACATCCAAACGTTTGCTGGATAGTAGCTCTCAGTGACAGGAGTTGTGAACACTTGATTCTGATTAACCCTTAATAAGTTTCTGCCATTGGAGAAGGCTTTTACTGACATTGACTTAATGTGGAGACTCACTGCTCAACTCTCACAGACTCAACACATTTAGAAAAACTTGAGAGTTTACACCAATATACTGATTTCAAAAGATGTTTGTTTCAAGATGGGGGTAATACAATATACAACTTAACCACACTCAATTCAATGTTCTGAACTGAGTTTTCTGTTGATCATTTACAGCATTTCATTGGCTTCCATTGTTAAAAGATGACAGTTTATAGGATTTTGATCACATCTACTTAACATTTTTACAAAGTATTTTTTTTATTAAATTGAAGATCATTGAGGTGATAAATTATAAAATAACGCAAATTCGTCAAATAATATAAAAGTCAGTAAGAAAATATTTTTCTGACTAAAAATGAGAAAAAAAAGGTCTTCTCTAAGTTATAAGTCTATTATGTTTCCTGCTAGGAGGAATGTTTTTCTACATTGCAGGCCTGTATTGCACCTCATTTACAAGGAGTGTGAATAACAAAAAAGTTAAGAAAACTTTGGTAACAGACACTATAAGGAACCCTAACAACCAAATCCTTAAATCAATTAAAGTGCCAGCATTTACTAAATGTCACAACCTACTTTAAACGACACAAAAGGTCCTGTAAGAAGCTGCTTTTTGTCCCAGCCCCATCGGGCGCTGTCTGTTTGACCAGGGGCGCTTTCCTGTGACTTGGTGCTGAACATCTCTTCCTCCACCCGGCTCGCCGCGAGAAGGAAACTACTAGTTTACAATGTTTCCGAGAGGCACAGTGGAAGTTCACCGCCGCCGAGTCAAGTCATGTCTCCAAAACTTTTCAACTCGACCCACCCTGCCGAGAGGACGCACCTGAAAATAGTTCAGCACCACCGCGTCGAACCCGGCCCCGGGATTCCTATTGTTTTCTACTGCCGTACTATCAAGGCAGAGAGGGGAATGGCTCTTTAACACCAAGAACGCGGAGAGAGACGATCTACGCCGGAGAGGCTCTCCGTTTCTTCCCCCCACCTCAGCTTCCCGGTGCTAAAATGCCTCGTAGCTCTCTTTCAGCCGCCGCTCAGCAGCCGGAGAAACCCTCGGTCATACTGGGAGCCGTAGGGGTTGACATAGGTCCTAAATTCGGCACAGTTTCTCTAACATTACGGCTCATTAGATTCCTCGTTTTCGCTCACTTACCTCCGCCATTCCGTTTCTGCGCAAGCTTACTGTTGCCCGGATGTTGTATGTCTGCTCCTCTGTACAACTCCGTTTATTGCCGCAACGACTCAGCAAGAGCAGCTTTGCCTTAACTTTGTTTGACTTAACTCCACTTTTTCTAAGATTTTTTTTAAAATTATTTCCATGTGGCAAATAATGTTTTTTTAATACTTACGTAAAGTTGTTTATATGGAAAGACACCTACAGCGGCCGCTACTTTCAGTATGAACTAAACGAAATCATATAAAGCACTTAACATTTTATAACATTGTACTTAAAACAATTTCTAAAAAAAAGTTTGTAATTAAAATCCGTTTTGCATATTGAGCAATAAAACAAGTTTATGACTTTAAAACCCTGTTTATTCCGTTTTTTGTATAAAGTTTAAACTGAACTAATTTTATTAAATGGAAGTCTATGAGATTTTAATTCAGCACAGTTTACATTTAGTGTACTTACACCAGATCCATGTGGTTTGAAATTTTGAAAAGTAAAGGCCGTCTATAGATTATGCTGATTGCATTGAAACTCAACATGCTCAAGAGTAGATAAAAATGACATCCTTCATTTTTTAATGAGACCCTGCTCATTAATTTGTGTCCCTTACTGAGGACATTTTGTTCACCCTACTGTACTACTTTATATAGGACATCCTGGCTTTCCAGTGATGCGTCATGTGATAGGCTTACATGCTGGGAGCTCACTTTCCCCAATCAAAATGAACAGCTTACCAGCAACCACTTTTTATGAAGACAGGAGAGGAAAGTCAAGTATTTTTTCATCTTCAGCGATTCTTCCCTGATAGTTGTATTTTTATTTATTGACATGTTTAACAATATTTTGACCTCTGAAAGAATTGAATGATTTGAAGAGTTTCACCTATGCTTCAGAGCTCATAGCACTGAAGTAGCAACACTAAAAGTCACTACTGAAAAGAATATTAAGGAAAAGAAAAGAAAGGATACATTTCCTCTGTATTGTTGATGATGCTCCGCTATATTTATCTATAAATCCTGATGAATTCAACCAGTTAAACAACAAGAAAAACCTGGAGGATTCTAAATGTTTTACTGTTGAATTCAGATTGAAGTTGTTGTCTTTGGACCAGAGTCTTTGAAAAATAGGCAGCTTATATTGGCATCTAATCTGGACGACATTAAATTTGACTCCTGTGCTAAACCAAAGTGATCAGGACGTGTAATTTAAAACCCATATTAAACGGGTTTCCAGGGTTTCATTTTCTCAGTAGAAAACTAGAAATATCTTGTCCAGGAGTGATGCTGAAAAATTAGGCTATGCATTTTCTGCTGCAAGGCTGGACTATTGTAATTCTTTACTATCAGGAAACTCACAGGAGACAGTTTAAAGCCTTCAGCTGGTCCAAAATGCTGCATCAAGAGTTGTGATGAAAATGAAAAAGAGAGATCATGTTTCTCCTATTTTAGCTTCCCTTCATTGCCTCCCTGTTGAAGAATAATTTAAAATTCTCATTTTCATATATGCAGTCCTCAATAGTCAATCTTCATCTAATAGTAGCAATCAGATTGTTCAATTTGCTCCTAGCAGAGCATTTCCCTCTTAGACTGCTATGCAGATTGTTGGAGGCTCTTAGAGTCTCTTAATGTGGAATGGCTGGCAGACTTTTAGTTATTCAGCTTCTCTTCAGTGGAACCAGTTCTCAATTATAGTTCATGGGACAGACTGTCCACTTTTAAGACTAGCCTTCAGACTTTCCATTTTGATAAAGTCTATAGAGTGGATTAGATGATCCTCTCTGCAGTTATACTTATATTAAGCCTCAGTCTTCGCTCTAATTTTGCAATATTTGCTGTCATGTCAACTCTTAACTTTATATTTGCTCTGAAGGTGTTGAGATGCGACACCTTCCTGGTAGGGACGTCATTTAAGCTACTGATGATTCACCTGGCCCAGTCTTTCAGTGCTTAGCCTAGTCTCTTTCTTAGACAAAGCTATTGGCCAAGCGTTTGCTGTGACTAACTGTATGTACTCTTTCATCCCACAGACTTGAAAGCTCACTCAGAGATTTCCTACTTAAGCTGGGAATACACTGAATGATTTTTGGCTAATTTTCAGCCGATTTTCCAGTTGTGTGACAATTTTTGCTATTGGGCCGAGTCTTAGCCTAATCCTGTGTTGTGCATAGTGTATTATACAGCAGGTTATGAGAAGCAGCTAAGATGTCACGTAGCTCCTGGTCAGCAATTGTACAGTTACATAAAAATCAAAGCTGCTTGAAATTCTTAGTACCCCTCATGCGGCAATTGCACTGTAAAGGCCTAATTTACCTGAACCTCTCACATCACTTCTCAGAAAAGTATATAAGTAATCTGGCTTACTGTAATTACGTACCACAATCAATCTAACATGTTAATCTTATAATCAAATGTTGCTTGCTTGAAATTAGACGTGTCAGTCTCAAACATAAGTATAAATTTGAATATTAGAGTTTATGAACTTCAGATGTCTTCAAAGTCACATATTTTTTTGCATTTCTGCTTACAAATTTAGTGTTCACTAAATTCTCTAACATTCAGTGACTCAAAGTAAACTTACCTGCACTGGGTCAAACAGGAATGCATGTTATTGACTGTATATGTGTCCATATACCTGGATTGGATTCACTCTCACCCCACTCTTTTAAAGTGGTTTTAGACTAGTGAAATGTAATAATTTCACAATGACACAAATATTGGGTAAGTTTCTCTTTTGGGTGAAAACTCACCCAAGATTATCAGTGACTTGGGTGTGACGGATGGGAGGAAAAGGTCAAATATCCTTTAGAGAGTGCGATCATTTCTTGATCATGTGATGCAAGTGGAGTGATGTCTCACTCCACTACTGCATAGCAAGGTCTTCACTGGTAGGTCAATTATCCCTTTCCTGTCCACTCACATTGTATGATCCAACCATGGCAAATTTTACCGGCCTAAAGGTTTGGTCTTTTTCTCTCCAAATGGTTTTGCACTGGATTTCCAGGTGTATCAAAGGAAGAAAACATTCAGGGGTCAAAGACTGGGGATAGGAGCTTCAACAGTCTTGTGACTGATTGAGTCTGTTCCCCCCAGGAACTTGTGACTTCACAACAACTGATCTCATGGATAGTTTTCTTTCAATGTGTTTCAGTATTCGGAAAATACAATGACTCCATAGGTGCCTATGGCAATCACACTGGTTGATCATGTGATGGCAATGGTCAGCCAGGATGGCAATGCTTTGACATTGCTCTGACTCTGCCATCACAAAGCCTTGAATCTGAAACGAGTCTAAATATTCAACTAACCAACTAAGGACATCTAACTACCTTGACTTCAAACTGAATCTGGATGAGGAGCCAATGAATGCAAAATGTTTCTATGCATCTAAAAAAATGAACAAAAAAAAAATATATAATTTTCCCTACTAAAATACCCAGTGGAATAACAAATGGAGAACTGTTCTTCTGCTGGAGAATGGCCAATGATGGAGAACCCAAATAAATCACACATGAGAGAAACTGTAAGATAATTATTTAATGCGTTACTATGAACTAAACCTACATTACCAAAAAGCAAAAGCACATATCCTTGTCTCATCCTCTCGATTTTGTCAAATGTGTATTTATTGCAGGACTTGTTGAGCAAGTTTTCTAGAAGAACAAGGAATGAAGAGTTTTTGACACGTCTATAACATGAAATACAGTAATATACAAAAGGTGGTTACATTTTTATTGATAATGCTGGAATAATATGGCTGCTTTTCACTTTTTAACCACAACTTGCAGGTGTGAAGACTCACCTTAAATATGGCAAAAAGAATTTGGAGTTTGATCATGTAGACATGAGGCTTTCAGCTCCACTGTAATCTGTTTTCCTAACTTACTGTAGCATTCCTCCTTGATGATGTTTCACTTCCAGAGAAAACTCAAATGTTTGTCAGGGCAATTTCATCCACAACAGTGAATAACATGCAAAGTAAAATAAGAAATAAGGTGCTACTGTTGATGGATGGATAGATGCTGTTGATGGATGGATAGATGGATTGACTTATATATCTGATGTGGAGAAAGTAAAACACTGTAAGGAAGGCGTTGATGCAAATATTAAGCTACTCAAAACCCTAAACTCCTTATTGGCACTTCTACTCTCAGACATTTTCAAATCTACATAAGCCCAGCTGAGACAAACTTTTGGGTATCAAAGAAATTGATTAAAACACTGATGGAAACTAGTCCTGTCGTTTTCAAAGCAAGTCCATTCAAATATTTCTTCACAGCATAGTCTGGGCTTTCACCCATTGACTTGGATTCCTCTGGTAAAACTTCTACTGGGCAAATCAGCAAACAGAAAGGGAAGTTCTGAATAATGTCACTTCTCTCTTTGCAGCTAAGGATGGTTGTTTATAGCGCAGGCAATTTCCAGAAAGCTTCATAGCACAGTTGCCCTGGGGCTTGACATACTGTACATCAGGGACAAACTTTAGTAATTGGGTAAAGTTCAAACTTCAACATGGTCCACAGCTCCAGGAAGCAATCTCTTCACAACAGATGAGAGCCCCAAACTTAGTTTGTACAATGTGAATAACATGGGACAAGGGGCTGATTTTTACCTGGGTAAGTGGAAACATGAGTAAGAAAGGTTGAATTTCTGCAATGTCAATAAAGATTTTCACATTGACTTTTGAGAAAGCTACAAATAACTCCAAATGCCAATTTTTATTGCAGCTAAAACAGGTTTTTTAACATATCTTTTTTTTACATTTTCATTATCTTTTGAGCGATGCCTATATCAGGATCTTGGTTGCTTTAGGGGTTTTCTTGGTTTGCAGTTTTGCTTTCGGTGGTCTGCCTTAGTTATTCTTTTAATTAGATCAGTGTTGTTTCTGTTTTATTTTAGATAATCTGTTCTTATTTCATTTTATGTTATTTATTCCTCATGTTTAGTTGTTCTTTATTCCACTAAAATCATGTTTTGCCTTTTTGTTACTCCTTGTTTCCTTGTGCCATCTCCCCCCCCCCCCCCCCAACTCAGCCTGCTTCCCTGGTCCCGACTAACCTGCACCCGATTATCAGTCACTTGTTCCTTGTCAGCAAACTCCTCCGTTCAAAAGCTAGTCTCACTCATATCTTTTCTGCTGGGTTCTTCTGTTCCTTCCTGGTACTAGGTTTCCATTGTCTCTATAATGCCCTGGTTTTCTGTGTTTTCATTCACATTTGATTCACACTATTATTCCTCATGTTTAGTTATTCTTTATTCTGTTTAAATCATGTTTTGCCTTTTTGTTACTCCTTATTTCTTGTTTCTCCCCTTGCCTGGTCTCATGTCTCCAGAAGATACAAGTTAGTCCCAGACTATCCCACTATCAAAACCATTTTTTTTTTTTTTTTTTTTTTTTTTTTTTTTTTATCAGTAATTGGCATTTCCATTTGGTGTCTTTTGCACAGCTTCATTCTCATTGCTGTATCTTAGATGCTGATATAATTATGCTTATGACCTCCTGGATATGTTTACAATGCATATATAATGCTATTAACCCTTTCCAGTCTGATAGAGGTCTTTTATGTTTCTCATCTGTTCTTCAGATCTTCAGATTAGTGCATAATGTGTTGGTTTCTTAAATCTTCTAATCCGGTGTTATTACAGCTACAGAAATTCAACTCAACTTTCCACAGAAATGCTGTTAATGACACTTAATTTATAATTTAACAAGTGGAGTGATGAATTTATTACTTTTAGGAGTAGGTCTGTTTGCCCAGGTGTTTCTCTTTAAGGAATTGTCATCCTTTAAAACCTGTACGTTATATTTAGTCAGATAATCAGATTATAATAAAATAATTTTTAATAGTACTGTTACTGGTAAATGTGTCAGTAATAGAATTGCAGAAGAGGTTAAAGTTCCCATGATACAGAGAGAATAAGACTTGCATGTCACTGAATTTGAAAAGCCTAATGAGACACTGGGCACTAAACCCTGAGCTACAAATGCTGAACTGTGGCACAGTGTCCCAGGACTTCCAGTTCCAGATAAAGACAGATGTGAGACAGTGATTAAGCTTTGAGTCGGGTGTTGCAGCCATCTATCTTTGTTAAATGGACTTTCTTCCTGGTTTACTGTAAACTCAATGTTGTTGTTTTTTTTTTATAAAGGTTTTTAGTCTTCCTGAAACTACATAAATAGCTTGTTTTGATGGCTCATATACAGTTCAGAGCAGTACAGTTTCATTTTCAGTTTATGTGAACTCAGTCCAGTTGGTGTATTTATCTGTCTTCTGAACACTCCCATTTGCCCGGATTCTTGTTTGTCAGTATCACTGCATGACATGTTGCTCTGTCCTGCATCTGCTTGCACTAAAATATGCTGTGATCTATGAATTACTGTTCTAATTGGCTGCATCTATTGTTGTAAAATTACAAAGGAAAGAATAGACAAAAGGTAACTTATCACTTTGTGGTATCTGGTTTGCGTACATGTAATATTTCATCAGCAAACATCCAAAGTATACAGTAGAACATTACGACAAAGGAGTTTGATTTAATTTGTATAACATTAAACTGAAATACAGATCATGGGCTAAGTATGGCAACAAATATTTTCTCAAATACCTTCTGTAATAAGTCTGTATGGCCAGATCAGTCTAAGATTGAGTAATTGAACCACAATGACAAGAAGTATTTTGGAGGTGTCATAATAAAAACACTGGCAGGATGCAGTGGTGTGACAAAGTGGTTCAGTGTGTTTACCACTTGTCCCTTATTTTTATTTCTGATTCATTTACTCTTTCTGTATCTGGACATAATGCTTAAATTTAAACATTACTTTGCAACTTTGCTTCACTCACTGTCTATGTGTATGTTTCGGTGAAAGTTAACACTTCTACACCATTGAATGATTTTTTTTGTTTTTGTTTCAAGGTATATGAAACAAAAAGGAAAATAAAGTATTTAGATTCTGCAGCAGGGCAGGTGTGTGGGAGGGGCCGACCCAGTATTTCCTGCTTAAATGGCTGGATGATGATGTCATCTATTACATAGCTGGGTTCTACCAATTACAGGGTTTTCTTTTGTGCATTGTATTGTTTTTTTTCTTCTTTTTCTCCTTCTTTAAATGAACCTTTTGAGTTGTCCTATATTACATGGTTTATTTTCCAGACCATTTAATATGAATAGATGAGTTTGTAAATTACAAAAATTGTAATTTACATACACATACACACATTGGTGTATGTATGTATGTATGTGTCCTAATGTAATATATATATATATATATACATATATATATATATATATGTATATATATATATATATATATATATATATATATATATATATATACAATATATATATATACATATATATTTTATGCCTGTTTGGATCAATAGAAATATTCAATATACTCAAACACATGCAACTAATCCTAAATAATTGACCACAAGTGTAAAATGATTGACATCCATGTCCATGGTGAGCACATGTAAATGTCCAGTCATATTTGTTTGGAAGAGTTGCTTCGCTTAAGAGGTAAACAATGAAGCAAGTTATTTTTGTTGAGTTTACTTGTTATTTTAACATATGACAAAATCAGTTATTTCAGAAAAGGAGACCTAGAAAACACTGAGGCCCAAGAAGATCATAACAACGGCCAGCCATACTGCGGTTGCGGTTTACATCCTTGAGCAATTTCCTGTGTCTGGGGTGTGAGTCCCTGCTGAGCTGCTGTCACTAGGATCTGTCACAAATGAAGATATCATACACTTGCCTCAGAGGTCACAAATAATGTGATCTAGTGGTACAAGTATACCAGTGGTACAACATTTCTCATGACATCATGAGGAATGATGTGTCATAAGAAATGTTGGTATTGACATTAGCTTTCCATGTTACAAAATAGAAACAGGATTTTTATACACATACATGTCTCTTATCAACAGACTCTGCATTATTAGACAAAAATAACTTAAATAAACTCAAAATGCAGGTTTGAAATGATCATTTTGTCCAGGTCAAACAAGCACCATTAGCCCTATTTGAAACAATTAGCACATTCCCAAAGCACTCCGAAAAATAAGGAACTTTTTTTTTGTTTGTTACATCCAGCGGAAGTTTAAATTGATTGTTTGTCATGGTAGTGATTTTAGTGATGCCATCCAGAATTCCCCCCCCAAAAAATGTAGGTGGCCAACGATGCTAAAACTGGTTGGCATGCGATTCAAAGTTTCATCTTATAATTTAAAGGTGGAGTTTATTGTTTTGTGTGCTGGGTTCGGTGGATGTTTTCAGAAATTCTAATCTCATTTGATTATTGTCCAAATTTAAAATACTTTAATACTGTAATTTACAGTGGATTATTTCACGGTCAGTAAAATACAGTTTGAAAATGTCAGAGTGATGACTGTAAAAAAATCTTTTTCAGAGCTGTTTTATGACTGCCTTCGAAGTCAGAAGTTTACTCTCATCAGGATTTCGCTACACCTTCGAAGAATATGGAAACGTCCAGGTGACAATTTCATGATGTAAACTTCTAACAAGTCAATTCACAACATTCAAGTTAAATGGAGGCCCACCGTCAACACATTTTCTCCCTTGAGTACAATTTTAGGATGGTTGCAAGAAATCAGCCAAAATATCAGAAATAGAAATGTGTATCTCCAGCAAGTTTGGTTCGTCATTCGGAACAATCTGCAAATGCCAGAAGGTGCATTTATTTGTTTGAACAATTATACATAAGTATAAACACCAATGGGATGCCCATTAATCATAATATTTGGAAAGGAGATGGGTTCTATCCCAGAGAAAATCACATTTTAGGATGAGATGTGTGTATCAGTCCCAGAACAAAAGCTAAAGGCCCTGAGAAGATGCCGGCTGAAGAAAATTATAATCCATTGTCAATGTGTTCTGCCATAGTGACATCTCGTCATATTGAAAAATCTTACATAACAATCCATACAGTTGAGGGCTTTTTTTTTAGCTGGAGGAACTGGTGCTGCTGACTAAACACATGGCATCACGAGGATAAAAATTTGAAAATACTGAAGCAATATCTGAAGACATCAGCCAGGAGGTTAGTGTCTGGGCACAAGAAGGACTTCCAGATGAATAGTTGTTTTTATAATTTAAGTTGTAGCTTTTAAGATAATGAATTAAGATGTCTAGTCTGTGCCTCAGACAAATGATTTCATATCTATTTTCCACAAAATAATATTGGCTTGGTAATTGCAGCATTACAACTACCTTTCCACAAGGGGGCAATGCTGTCTTGAGCATAATTCGTTCAATAGTTTGCACATCCATAGGACTTTTGTGAGGTTACCATAGCATAACTTTATAAGTTCTTGGTTTTATATTTGCAGAAAATACCTTTCTCTTATTGTGAAAGGAGATCATAAGCAGTGAACTGGATTCCAAACCAGTATACTTCTATTGTTTGATCATGGTGTCAGTCCGACTAAATGAGTCTGGATGAGTCCAAGCTAAAGACTTGAATCCAACCCAGAACACTTGTGAGTCGGAGTGTACGTTAGTGTAACTCTGACATTCTGGTCAGTACCTTCACTTTGTTTGCTCTCCTTCACCCTTTCTTTTCCCACTCCCTCCCTAGACAGGATGTTTGTGTCTCAGCGGAGTAGCAGCAGACAGCGAACCATAGGAAAGCTGATGATCAGATAGGGTGGTTGTGAAGCACCCAGCTTTCCCAGCGATGTGAAAGATTAACTAGGATTTAGGACTTCCATTTGGATTGGCCCCCCTACACAGGGGGGCCAGCAAAACAACACGAGGCCACTAGGCCACAGTGACCCAAACAGCGAGTCCCCCTCCCCATCCCCTGTCATGTCGAACTGCCATTTTCAACCTAACATCCTATATAAACAAGGCTCTAATTGTGAGAAAAAAAGAAATGACTCAGAAATGGAACGACGTCGTCCACGGAGAAGGAAATGACCAAAGTGACCCACTTCTTATCTGAAACAGACACTGGCCAACATGTTTGAGTAATGATGCATCAATTGTCAGCGAGGCGTTATCGAGGCTGATGCCGTTATTACTTGCCAAGAAATTCAGGCAACAAGAATTATTATGCTAGCAGGTGATATAATGAGACTCGAGAGGATTGTGTTTCCATGTATTGTAATGCTTTTCATGTGGGCTCGTGGAAGTTAGCGTTAGATTCCTGGCTGTGGGCAGAGGCCTGTGCAGCACAGGATGTGTTTAACGTCAAAGAAACCTGAAGACGTACACCTAGAAGAGGAGAAATGAAGAAATCAGCATAGGCGTAGTTTAAATAAACAAGTTATTGTTATATTATTGTGCCTTGTAAATAAATTTTCTAACATTGCAATCAAAATATGTATTTTTATCTGTTTTTTCATGGGAGATGGAAGGAAAAATGCTTTACGTTTAATTTATTTTCATAGATAAGAATCTGAAAAGTGTGGCAAGCATTTCCAAGTTTTATGGTGTATCCTATTTTCCGGATTAGATGTCATATGTTTATTTTTTTATTTTTAATTTGTTTTCAAAGTTTTGCTGGCCCCTGTACAACTTGTTTTCCTCTTTGTGACACATTTATCCACTTTTGCATTAAGTTTTAATTCATACTGATGAACATGAGCCATGGAGTAAACTTTACCGTTGCAGTTGAGAGGAAAGTTAATTGTGGGCAGCAAGGAACATGGCCGGAGCTCGTGGAATAAAACCTCATATGGTACTTAAAGAGCATACTATAAGGAGAGGCTTGTGTCTCAATGTCCTAGAAGTTGCCAGGCAGATTAATTTAAATTACTTTCCAGGCAGACCTTCTTGGTGTTACTTCATGCAACGTAACCTCCTCTACATCACTCCAGATTTACCCTGCATGCTCCTCAACTCAGAAACTGCCAGAAAACTTCCAAGTCAAAGTCGATAACTTTCCATGAGTGTGTTGAAAAGCAGGTAAATGAGCACAGCGTGTCACCACTGGGTCATGTCACATATCATTTTTCCATAGCGGTTGAATTTGTCCGGTAGACAGTTTGTGGCACCTGAACTGTGGATTTCTGCTCCTCCAGAGTAAACTTTGGTATCTTGGCTACTTTTCTGACTGATGCTCTCCTTGCATCAGTCTAGATGGAAGGCTATGTGTTATTACCGTTGTGCCATTCTCCTACTGCTTTGGGGTAAAGGATTCGGCAGTATTTCATAAGTAAAAACTTGGTCATTTTGTTTTATAGTCTAACCGTTTTATATCCTAACCTTGACAGAAAACTTTTATCTTTATACTGAGAATAACAATAATAACACACATATGTTGGTTCCAAGTACAAATTAGAGTACTTTTGAAGGCAGTTTGTGGGACTGGATTTTATTTCAGAAGATTTAACTGAGTACAAAAACACCCAAAGTTAAAAAAAATAAAAACTAAAAACTGAGAACCATAAACCCTTTTCCTTCCAATTTACCGTTGCATGTTAGATTGTGTGTTTCTATTTCAGGAAATCACAAAAAAAAACAACAACAAAAAAAAAACACATCAGCTGTTTTTGCCAAGTCCTTGTTGTAAATAACAGGTTAGGTAAAGGTTAAATAAATAAAATAAATGACATTTTTTTGCAAGGGGCTGTGAAAAAGTCCCAACGACTCCTCACCTTTTATTATTTCGTATTTTCACAATAACTCAAAGTAAATTGAAAACGCTTTGAGTGGAAAAGACATGTTTACTCCAAACTTTGCGCGTGCCCTCTTTTTCTCGTTATCGTGAAATATTTCTGAACAAGAAGTTTTTATAGAAACTGTGGAGGGCACTTCCTGTGAGACGCAACACACTGTAATAAAAACACAGGAGTGGAAAGATGTGTGCAGCTCTGCCCTGTCCTGTTTTAGACTCCCTCCACCCTCCAAGCCCTCCATATCACTCCCTGTTCTCTGTAAATTCCCCGGCCAAGCCGCTGGTTTCCTCAACCAATACCATTTTTGGGCCTAGTTTGCTTCAAAAGTAGCCGACGAGTGGAAATGGCATTAAAACATATTCAGCTAACTCAGAGTAAACATGCCACAAGGCTGTCTAAAGGATCAAAGAAGGTAAAAGAAGAACCTTAAAAGTGTGTCCAATTCCCCTCACACAGCCGACTTTCTGTTGGTAGGATTTCCTTGCAGTGATGGCTTTTTTTTTTTTCTTTCAAACCTCATACAAGAGCCTGAGTGTGAATTAAGCCTGTAAGTGGTATAATTAAGAAAGTAACTGACTCTAAGACACATGAGCCTTTCACATCGAAGACTCGCCGGTGAGTGTACACACATGTGCCATAGACGCAGCAGACAAACAGCCTTCTGTTCACATCCAGAGTTAACCTGCAATCATAACTCACCTCATTTCACCACCATACAGTCATAAAGGGCTGGATACAGTGTCACAAATATAACACAGGTTCACAGGGTCTCGGTCCTTTAAATTATCAAGATTTAAACGGATGAAGTACAAGCTCTTTGCACAGTACCGGAAGTATAATTTAACAAGATGAGTTCCCAAAAATCAGCTTCTTTACAAGGAGGTAATTTAGATGATTTTCCTTGAACCCAGCTCATGTTTCATTCCCAACAGAAATGTTGGCGCTCGTAAACGCTCCAAATCGGCTTGTAATATCTGCAAGTGCCTTTGTGGAGACAGTCTCATGGCGGTTGGCAGCAAGTCCACCGAGAGGTCATGTCTTTATCTTTTGGTCCTCATCCACAAAAAACAGTTCAGCAGGGTGAGGGCTGCAAGGCAGGAGAATGGATTCCAGCAGGCGCAACAGCTCTGGAAAATACACCCTTCACAATGTTTTTCTTCACTCCATCTCCTTTGCTTGTTTTTCTGATAGAGTGGTCAAGCTGATAACTAGGATCAAACTGTTCCTCAAGGATTAAATACGTAAGACAGACTCAAAAATAAATCCACAAGATTAGAGTCTTTTCTCCCTCATCATTTATAACATTTCAGTTGGTATAAATATCATTTCGAGGAGCCAGATTATGCTTAAGCAGCTTGAGAATCACGGCTTGAAAAAGTGATGGCTGTGTCTGATATTTATATTCACTTTCCTGTAAGAATGGTTTGATTGTTTTGTTAAAGACTCCGGGGAAAATGGCTGGACGTCCAAGGCGAGGGCACTTTTTGTAAGCGCTCATGTGTGTGTGTGTGCATGTGTGTGTGCAAATGTCAGGTTTACTTTAGCTCTTTCAGAGATGCTGGAGCAATACTAGGCTTGTGGTGGACCAGTGCAAACACAAAGCTGTTGGAAACAATGATTTCACAAAGCAGGCAAGGCTGGCGGCCTGTTTCATTTATTTTCACACCACATTCCCTCTGTTTAACCTTTGACAAGGTCTTCCACCTCCTATCCTTCCCCTTGTTCCCCTCACACTCCATCAATAAACAAACCATAAACCTCACAGCAACTCTTTCTCATCAAGCGTTGAAGTATGTTGCTGTTGCACCACCAGAGGTCCCACCGTGTAGTCACAGATGAGAGAGCAGGACACGTGGGAGGCGGCGCTGACTGTTATGATCTTAGCGCTGTGGTGGATCATAGCGTTTCAAACCTATAAACACAGGTGGGTTACGGTTCTGCAGGCCATGAAATCAAATATGTGCCTGCATATGTTGCGTGTGTGTGTCTTGCTGTGTGTATAAATCACCAGACGACGTGCGGCACCATATGCCCAGCAGACGCTGAGGACCTTGGAAACATATTGCGTCGACAGTAGCCCTGTGTGCTTTTATTCCATGATTAACTGGATGCCACAACATGCATGCTCTTTTAGATACATGCAGCTCCTCAGGAATTTGGTTTAGTATAAATCCAATACAATGTAAAGGCTTCCGCTGCATGGCATGTCTTTCAACTGGCTTATTCATTTTGATATCAAGTTTATGCATTCAAAAAATATATATTTTCTGGACTGCAGACACTTTTTCACAAAAAAAAAATTTTGACAAATTGTGTTTTTTGAGAAACCCCCCCCCCCCCACAAAAAAAAACAAAAAAAAAAACTAATCTTTATTACAGTTCCAAAACTTTTCCTTTAAATCAGTTTCATGAGTTACAG